AACGCATTACATGGAGAACTGGAATAAAGCTGAGGTATTTTACTAAATTCTACTCGATTCAATAACTGTTAAAATCCAATGTTTATCAAAGTACTCAATCATAATTAGAATGTGAAAACTGACAGCTCTGCCAATCACCACCGACCAATTCGAACATCTAAGCGATATTTCAAATGCTTTTTGATTATAAGAAGCTAGTTTTGACAAAAATTTTTTTTCGACTGCATGTTTAATTCGGGCAAAATTTGAATTGTTTTTTGAATTGTTCAAACAAAATTTGAATTGTTTGAATCGGCAAAATTTGAATTAATTTCTGTGTGACCAAAGCTCTGATCGAAAACTTTTTTTTTTTATTACTGCAATTTCAAAGTGTTTTAATGACATGTTATAACCTCTGATTTCCCATTTAACTGAGATTATAAATTTATCAATAACATATGTTGTAAGATTTTTCCCTCACACTAATAAAACTTCAATTATAAAGGTATGGAAGAATTCAAAGGAAATTGTGCAAAAGATATTGTCAGCGCTCTGCAAAAATTTCTTTAAATAAATCATTACAATAGTTGAAATGAAATTATTCAGCATGATAGATTAAACATCAAATACTGTTATTTAATTTTTAAACGTGGATTATTAATACACGCTGTTTGCCATTCCCATCTTTATAAGCATTTACAGATATTATCCTTTGATAGTATCTAATAAAAGCTATTTGGTGACCTCTGTCCTTCCACGAATTTCATTCAGTAAACACTATTTCATTTATTTCAGCAAAAAATGGCGGCCTCTTCTCAAAACTTCGCGTTATATAAAAAACTTTACTACGATAAACATATCCATAAATTATAGCTTTAGAGTGGGAATAAGTTGCCATCTGTGTTGTTTGCATGTGAAAAATGTCTTTAATGTAATATTAATGGTTGCACGAAAGTTTACGTTTCGATGCTAATATATTTCAAAATGCATTATTTGGAAGAAATATTTTCATTAAGTAATCAGTCAAAGAGCGACAATGTGATTTCTTATAATCAGCCATTCATAGTGTTTTGATAAATTTGAATAATTTTTAGGAACTGGCAAGAAATTATAACAATCAGTATGTGTTTCATCTACTTGTTCCTCCTCTTCTTCTTCCAATTAAACATCAAAGCTACAGTAAGTTTATTAAGAATTAAAAAAGCATTTTCGTATTTCGAAGACATCAAATTTTTAGCGTTAGATGAAATGAATGGTATCATATAATTTCAGAAGGCGCAGACGGAACAAACAATGCTGTTCGATTTATTGGTACCGGTAATGAATGAGGAACGAATCCGAATGGAAATGCAGGATTCATTAGGAAAAGAATCAGATAAACAGACAGCATCGCCTAATATACTAATCCAAGAAATGAATGCTCAACAAAAACTACAGCACCCTGTATCACCAAAAAAGGAATGGTTGAAAAAACATATGATGAGTCATACCGGTAAAAAGATGTGTGATTATGCGGAATGCAGCAAAACTTGCTCCCAATCATCCGATTTGCAAAATCGTCTGATAAACCCTACCGGTGGAAAGCCGCAAACTCATTTGTTGACGACAAATATCGGTAAAGAAGAGACACAGTCACCGAATTTACTAATCCAGGTATCGAATGCTGAACAAGAATTACGACATCCTCCATTTTCAAAGAAGGAATGGTTGAAGAGACATAAGAAAACACATGCCGGTAAAAAGCCGTACGATTGTTCTGAATGCCAAAAAAGTTTCGCTCATCCATCGGATTTGAAAAAACATATGAATACTCATACCAAAGAAAAACCGCATAGTTGTCCGAATTGCAAAAAAAATTTCTCTCAATCATCGAATTTAAAAATACATATGAGGATTCATACCGGTGAAAAGCCGTACAATTGCACAGAATGTGGAAAACGCTTCTCTGATCCATCGGCTTTTAAAGAACATGTGAGGATTCATACCGGTGAAAAGCCGTACAATTGTTTAGAATGTGGAAAACGTTTCCCTGATTCATCGTCTTTTAAAAAACATATGAGGATTCATACTGGTGAAAAACCATACAATTGTTCAGAATGTGGAAAGTGTTTCTCTGATTCATCGACTTTTAAAAAACATATGAGGATTCATTCTGGTGAAAAACCATACAATTGTTCAGAATGTGGAAAGTGTTTCTCTGATCCATCGACCTTAAGAGAACATATGAGGATTCATACCGGTGAAAAGCCATATAATTGTTCAGAATGTGGAAGACGTTTCTCTCATTTTTCGACTTTCTGGAAACATATGAGGATTCATACCGGTGAAAAACCGTACTGTTGTTCAGAATGTGGAAAACGTTTCTCTGATTCATCGGCTTTTAAAATACATGTGAGGATTCATACCGGTGAAAAACCGTACAATTGTTCAGAATGTGGAAAACGTTTCACTGATTCATCGGCTTTAAAAAAACACATGGGAATTCATTCCGGTGAAAAGCCGTACAGTTGTTCCTTATGCGAGAAAAGATTTTCTCGAAGAGATTATTTGAATAGGCATATGAAATCTCATCGCAAAGGTGATTCCTCTTCCAATTTGATTGCATGCAACCAAAGCAATTCACTTTGAAATCACGTATTCTGAAATTTGAGAAAGGAAAGAGTTAATTGCATTTAAATTGAAATGTGTACTGATATTTTAGGATTTGATTGATTGTTTCTATATTTGATTGATTGCAATTTAATCATTTATCTTTAATATTTATCATATCTTTTATCACTTATTGCAATTTGTGTTATAGGTTATTCATGTTATGTTTGATTAGTAAATTATTATTGTTTTTCTGCTCTTCGTTTACCTTTTTTTTTGAAATAAATTTTGTCGACACGATGTGAAAAGTTGTTATTCCTACATCATAGCGACGATCAGACACTACCATACTGTTTATTTCATTAAATACGAATTCTACGGTATCTTTCCTTTCTTCTATGAATTCAAAAAATTGTTAAACTTATTTTCATTCATCAATATTTGAAGGTAAACAATGTCATCTTAACGTTGAATACCTTTATGCTTTGAATAAAAGCATACAATGATTGAATTAATTATAAAGAATTCAATTCCATCTGAAAAGGATAAGTTGATAATGAATTATCAAAGAAATTTGCATTTTCCAGGAATTGAAATAGCTGGAATAATTGAAATTTTTAATTTATTCGCTAGAAGTATGAAACGACCAAGTGGTTTATCAATAGCGCTAATATTAATGATTTTGAAAAGCTGTATCGTTTTCGTTGGTTAAGGAGTATTTCATTGTTGTTGCATTTATATTATTATTATTATCATCAATTATTATTTACTCATTTATCTTCCTAATTCATCCGTTTTGTTTTCCTGCAGAAAATACAATGAAAGAAAAATAATCCGATTGTTATTCTTATTTGAGATATTTAAGAATTGAAAATTATCATCTCCACATATTTTAGATTTCACCGATATCATTGATAATTTTAAAATATATATGAATGAAAACGAATCGGCATATCATTAAATCTCTTTCGAGGAACTAACCTATTATCTCTCAATTAATATATCCCATTATCGACATTAATCGTAGTTGACGTTGAATTGAGTGTTGAAAATTTTACTGAAAACATTCATAGCAAAAGTCATTTCCAGTCCTTTACGAATCATTCATACTAATAACACGACCTTATTTGCTTAATATTAAACTATATGGACGAAATAATTTGTTGGAATTTGTTGTTGAATACATTATCTTTTCATGTTTGTTTGTTTACAACAATTTTGTTTACAGCAAATTAGTTAAAACAACAGAGAAAACATTAAATCTAACAAATTATCTATTTTTATGAAATGAGTAAATATGGAAAAGGTTTTTGATAATAGAAATAATTCAACGATAGCGAATACATTACAACAAACGATAAAGATTATATGATTACATTTCATTTTTACGGAATATTTTGAAATTTAATGAGGCGGAAAAATCAAAGAAAAAATAAATATTATTTCTGTATTTAAATACAAATCATTATCAAATCAAATTAGAATGATTTATAAATGAATTAAAATAATTATTGGAAGAATAAATTTCTCCAATATATTTTTTATAGTTTATATTGTAGTTTGTTAATTATAGGTACTGTAATAATAGCAGATATCATAACAATCCTATTATTGCTGGGTGGAAGCTATGAAACAATGAAATATTTCTTAATAATAATACCGTTATGCCAATTAATTATTATTTTTCCGTTTTCTCTATCAGGTAAAATTAACCTATATATATTAATGTTAAGTAATGTCATACATTATATTAAATATATACATATACTATCTAATTATTTGCTAAAACTTTCTACATATTAATTTAAATAGTAAAATTATTAATTTGGTTCATATATTTTCGGAGAATATTATTTTTAGGAATAATTCTAGCCTTAACAGCATCACAAGCATCTCCTAAAGCTTTCAGTAGCTCATGGCTTGATAAATTTCATTATATTCATTACTATTCATCAAATTTATCTGCACCAACGGTGATTTTTAATACAAATTAAATTCAGACTTAAATGGATCAAATTTCGATTTCAATTTAATTTAATTTAATTCAATTCGATTTAATTTAATTCAATTCAATTTAATTCATTTAAATAGAAATGTTGCAAAAACCAAACTTTTGAATAATTAATAATAATTTCAGTTTAATAGAACAGAATCACTAGAAAAATTAGTTGAAATGAATTTAACAGAACTAAATTTTAATACTTCAAATTTTATCGACGATTTCATTGGTGTACGTGATTTGGTTGAAAATGAACCGATCATCAAAATACTTGATCAATATCTCATATCTGTTCGGGTTTATCATTTCAAGAATTTTTAATTGTTTTAAAAAAAAAAAGCATACAAAATTTTTGATTTTAATTAGAGTAATTAAAAAAATGATAGAGTGCAAATAATTTTTGTAACTTCTCATATTTTTATCAATTGGCGGAAATGTTATAAATTTAAAGATTGATTCGATTCAGCGACAATTGGAATGTTGTGGAGTTGAAGGATCACATGAATGGTTAAGTCTGTATTCTGGGACATTTGCGCATCATAAGGTTTTATTTATGTCAACTGCTGCATTACTGAACAATTTCATCGTTATTAAATACACTCTCTTAAACTTTCCCTTCATCCAAACCATGCAACTTTGATAATAGATATTACAAGATGCGATATTATTTACTTGGATCGATAAAACTTGAAGATTTCAGATGACAAGGTATGACCTTTGGTGGTCAGATAATTGGATACCAAAGCGATTTACACCATCTTGTTGTTCAGAGACTAATCTTTTATGCTCTATTCATCTAGAACAAAGTTTGCTCTATTCTTTATAATTTTAAATAATTATACTAATTTTACTTAAGTGAAAATTGTTTTCAGCTTTTGTTCTTCATTGCAACAACAAAATAATCGTAGAAAGATTGGACTATTTTATTTATCCTTCAAGTTTACGAAATATTTTACATTTTGAAATGCAATCATTGACCTTTGAACTTTTGTTTTTACTTTCCTTTTTTATTTATTCATATAATAAACTGAAATGGATCTTTCACTACAAATATATAAAACTGAAATGAATCTTTCACTTCACTACAATGAAATATGGAAGAGAACAATTTGTTAATTTTTACAGGTAAAACAACAAATCAACCATTTAACAAAAATGAAATTATTGGCTGTCGGAAAAAAGTAATATCTGAGATTACAAAAAATATGAAAGTAATCCTTTTATTATTGTTTGATATATATTTATTTTACTGACAGATAACTATAACTGTTAATTTATTAAAATTGATCCAAACAAATTTGTGTGAATAGCCAAATGGTCAAAAAAGAATTTCAATAATCAATAATTATCTGACATATATTTGCTCAATATTTAATTCATATTTGATTAAATTAAATTTTTGTTTTTGAATACAATCAAAATTACTGCCTATTTTAATATTTGACAAATCAAATTTTACTTCCCATTTCTGATTTCAAATTTTACTTCCCACTTCTGATTTCAAATTTTACTTCCCACTTCTAATTTCAAATTTTATTTCCCACTTCTGATTTCTCAGATTTTGTGCTCATTTCTAATTGGAGCGATATTTGTGCAACTTATTTTATCACCGCTCATTTATTTTCTCGTTGAAAAAAGACGACGAATTGAACGAATATTGTATATTAGTCGATGGAAACGGCAACTTGAGGTTACAACAATTTTAAAAAACGCTTAGATTATACAAATATATGAAATTCTGTCAGTTATAAAATTTTTTAAATTTATTTCAAAATAATTTAATAGCACAAAAAGATTAAATTCCGATAGAAAGAATAGGGCGATTAAGTGGTAGTACATAGGATGATGTTATTGATTGATAGATATGATATTGTTATCAAAAAAAATATCTTTCAATTAAGTTTATTTTATGTACGAGAGCATTTTGAAGTAATAAAGATAATATGATGATCTGCAAAAATGAATAGAAAAGTTCGTATTTCAGTTAGAAATAATAATTGCATAAATTTAAATGTTACTCTAACATTTTACTGTAACATCTGAAAAGGTTCTTACAATAATTTCTTCGACAATTATTGATAATTAATATTAATTGACACTAATATAAGCCATGTGGTTATTTAATGGTACTAAATGTTCTGTGTTGTGGTATTTAATGATAGAGAAAATTTTACATAGTTAAAATTTTACGTACTACATAGTTTGATAAAAAAGAATTAAAATTTATGACAAGTTGATTTTCACTAAATTTTTTTTCAATTTTTAGGTTTCATTACAACAGAATTTCAGGTTATATTACAGCTGAATTTCAGGTTATATTACAGCTGAATTTCAGGTTATATTACANGCTGAATTTCAGGTTATATTACAACTGAATTTCAGGTTATATTACAGCTGAATTTCAGGTTATATTACAACAGGAACGAAAAAATGTCTCCGCTCCAAGTAATTATTTGCACAAATTAAGGGCAAAAGTGGAAAAGGAAGAAATAATTTAATATAATTTATGGCATAAAATTGAAAAATGAATTTATAGCAATACATTAAATTGTCATTCTTAAACTACTTTATAGTATTTTTTTCTTAAACATATAGCAATACACAATTCAATGTTTTATATAATTAATTATATTTGATTACATTTATCGATTTAAGCATAAAAAACAATGGTTTAGCTATTTTCCTTGAAAAGAATATTCTCCCGATTTATCGAAAATTTTCTCCCTAAATTCAATCAATTATCGAATATCTTTAATATTAATGTTGCATCTTTTAACCTCTTTTTAACCTAAAAACGTTAATGATTTAATTATCGGATTGTTTTGCAAAAGCTTAGAGACCGATCCTCATCAATAAAATGAATGTATGAAAATTTTAGACATTCATTACAGTTATAATTTTCAATAAAGAATAATTTTTAATAAAGAAAATGAAAATGTATCATTGACGATCTGCAATAATTAATCAGGTAGTTTCTTGTCGATTTTAATATTTATATTACTTTAATATTAGTATTATCAGTAGGAAGAATCAGATTATATTCTTTCCTAGGTAGGAAGAATCAGATTTCATACGCAATGCGCAAAATTTGAAAATTTTATTGACAAATATTATGCATGATTTCACGTTCAATTAGTGACCCAAAATTCATCTTTAACTAAATTAAATAATTGAAAATTCTCACTTTCAATCAAATTTAACTTTTTAATTTCAATTCAACAGTATTCAATTTCTTTGATTACAGTTACTAAATTATTCAACAAAATCCACGCACATTATCTTTGCACTTCTTCAGACACTTCCATGCAAAACTATAGCTTTTTGAGATATTATTATACAATGTAGGAATTACTAGCAACACTTTTATCGGTAGTTCTTGTACTCTCACTTTTTACTTCAGTGTTCCTTATTTCAGTTGTGAAAGGATAAAAGCTAAGTACCAAATTGCAGTGTATGACATATGTTTCAACAATTTTCTTCATTTCGTTCAATTTCAAAAAATGACAGATAAAAAAATGCATTTTTTACGAACATAAATTTTACTACGCTTTAGGTCAAGTTTTGAAACATCTCTTCCATCATATTTCTTAATTCTTACTACTCCTACACACTCAATTTACCCGTTTAATTTAAGTAACTTAATACCGAAATGTAATTAAATACATTAATATTTGCATATTCACTAATATATCAGAATTTACCAATCGCTACACCACCAATTAAACAATTCAAATTAATTGAAAATAAAATATTTTCACACGAATTATCAAATAACTTAATACCGAAATGTACTTAAATGCATTAATATTTGCATATAATTTAAGATAAAGTGATTTGCTGTGATGGCGTTAAATCATCCTGAAATAGATATTGTAAAAATTTTTAATTCCCAGCAATCTATAATGGATTAACATTTCTTGTAAAAATCCGCTTCAAAAATCCGCTGCAAAATCCTCTATTATTAAGATAAATCGATATACACTACAGCATGTTAATTTGTAACTGGAGCAAATGGGTACTGACGTAAAAAAGAAGTTCGATATTTGCGCCTGTTTCTAAAAAAGGATTCAAAATACTGGCAGCATTTGTTCCTGTTCGGACACAATCATAGTACTTACGACTTGGCTTGTTTAAATTTTCTGCAAATATATGCTTCAACAATTTCGGCCAATTGTCATCTTTGATTAGAGGATATTTCCCGCTCCTTTTTTTAGTAACTTTGAGTTATTATGAATCTTCTATATATCTTGATAGCTTGCATCAGTAATTACTTCATCTTATGGTGCTTAAAGATTTTACATTGCTTAAGCGATACTTAAAAAATTCTTGGTTAAATGAAGTTAGTTTTGATAAAATCTATTTTAAAATCTGTTTTCAACTGTAAGTTGAATTCTGGCAAAATTTTAATTTTTGTGTTGCAAAATTTGTTATTGCAATTTAAATAAGAGATTTAAATAATTTAAAAAAGATTGTGTTTAATGACATGTTAAAACCTCTGATTTCCCACTTCATGAAAAATTCTTTTCAGGATGAGAATCAGAATCATATATAAATTTATAAATAATGTATCTTGCATGATTTTTCCCTCACACTAATATCACATTAGTTATGTAGGTGTGAAAAAATTGAAATAAAATTGTTCGCAAAAAATATTGCCAATGTTTCGTATAAATTATTTATCACAATTCAGTACACAATTCAGTTTTTCACAATTGACAATTCAGTACAATAGTTGAAATTAAATTATACAGTATAATAGATTAAACATCAAATACGGTTATTTTATTGCTAAACGTGGATACACGTTGTTTGTCATTCCCATCTTTATAAGCATTTACAGATATCTATCCTTTGATAGTTTCTAAAAAAAGCTATTTAGTGACCTCTGTCTTTCCACGAATTTCATTCAGTAAACATTATTTCATTTATTTCAACAAAGAATGGCAGTATCTTCCCAAAATTCCGCGTTATATAAAAAAGTTTACTACGATAAACGTATCCATAAAATATAGCTTCAAAGTAGGAAAATGTTGCTCTGCGTGTTTTTTAAATGTGATAAATGTTCTTATTGCACTACCAATGATTGCGCGATAGTTTGCTTTTCGATGCTAATATATTTCGAAATGCATTATTTGGAAGAAATTTCTTTTTTAAACAATTTATCAAAGAGCGTTTCTTAAAAGTAACCATTCATAGTATATTGATAAATTTGAATATCTTTCAGGACTGTCAGGAAATTACAGCAATCATTATGTATTTCATCAACCTTCTCCTCCTCCTCTTCTTCCAATTAAACATTCAAACTACAGTAAGTTCATTAAAAATTAAAAAATAAAACGTTTGGTATTTCGAAGATATCATATTTTCAACGTTTGATGAAATGGATAGTTTTATATAACTTCAGGGGGCGCAAACGGAACAAACTATGCTCTTCAATTTATCATTGCCGGAAATAAGTGAAAAAGGAATAGAAATACCGGACTCCTTAACAGAAGAAACGAATAAGGAGCGCATAGCGTCACCGAATATAAATATCCAAGGAGCGCATGCTGAACAAAAATTACAGAATCCTGCATCGCCAAAAAAAACATGGATGAAAAGGCATGTGATGGATCAGACGAATGAAAAGCTGCTTGGTTATTCGGAATGCAACAAAACTTTCACTCAATCATCCGATCTGAAAAGGCATCTGATAAATCGCACCGGTGATAAGCCTTATGATTGTTCCGAATGTGGAAAACGTTTCTCTGGTTCATCAAATTTGAGAAAACATATGAGGATTCATACCGGTGAAAAACCGTACAATTGTTCAGTATGTGGAAAACGTTTCTCTCATTCATCGGCTTCTAAGAAACATATGAGGATTCATACCGGTGAAAAGCCGTACAATTGCACAGAATGTGGAAAACGTTTCTCTGATCAATCGGCTTCCAGAAAACACATGAAGATTCATACCGGTGAAAAGCCGTACAATTGTTCAGAATTTGGAATACGTTTCCCTGATTCGTCGGCTGTTCAAAAGCATATGAGGAATCATATCGGTGAAAAGCGGTACAATTGTACAGAATGTGGAAGACCCTTCTCTGATCCATCAAGTTTCAAAAAACATATGAGGATTCATACTGGTGAAAAGCCGTACAATTGTTCAGAATGTGGAAAACGTTTCTCTGATTCATCAAATTTGCAAACTCATATGTTGACCCATACCGGTGAAAAACCGCATGGTTGTCCAGAGTGCAGAAAAAATTTCTCTCAATTGATGCATTTGAAAAGGCATATGAGGATTCACACCGGTGAAAAGCCTTACAATTGCACAGCATGTGGAAAACGTTTCTCTGATCCATCAGCTTTTAGAGAACATATGAGGATTCATACCGGTAAAAAAACGTATAGTTGTTCCGTATGCGATAAAAGATTATCTCGACGGCGTATTTTGAATATTCACATGAAAACCCATTGGAAAGAGAGTTCCTCGTCCAATTGGACTGCATGCAACCAAAGCAATTCATGAAGAAGTTTGACAAGGTAAATAGTTAAATGGATTTAAATTGAAATATGTAATGGCATTGTTTCTATAATAGATTGATTGAATTCTTGCAATTTAATCACTTACACTTGATATTTATCATATCTTTTATCACTTATTGCAATTTGCGTTATAGATTATTCATGTTATGTCTGATTTTTTAATTAGCATTGCTTGTCTGCTATTGATTCACTTCTTAGTTTTTTTTGAAATAAATTTTGTTGACACGGCGTGAAAAGATTGTCATTCCTATATCAGAAACAACGATCAGATACTATTATACTATATAATTTATTAAATACTATTTTAAATGCTAAAAATTCTATATCAATATCTGTTCTTGGGGAAATTTTTAATAACTGAACAATTTAAGATACTGATTCGCTGTGGGACGTTAAATCATCCTAAAATAGATATTATTAAAATTTGAAAGTCCCGGCAATTTACGACGGATTAACATTTTTTGCAATAATTTGCTTTAGAAGGTTTTATTGCCAAGATGAATCGATATACACTGTAGCATGTTAACTTGTAACTTTTAAACTTTTTAACTTTGAGCATATTAATCGACATAAAAAAGAGATTCAATATTGCGCCTGTTCTAGAGAAGGATTCAAAATACTGGCAACATTTGTTCCTGTTCGGACACATTCATGGTACTTGCGACTTGGCTTGTTTACAGTTCCTGCAAATATATGCTTCAACATTTCGGCTACTTGTCTCTTTGATTATCACTTTTAATTAGAGGATTTTTCTTGCTCCTTTTTTCGGTAACTTTGAGTTATTATGAATCTTCTGTATACCTTGAGAGCTTGCATCAGTAATTACTTTAATCTTATGGTGCCTAAAGATTTTAGATTTCTTAGGCGATACTTTAAAGTTTCTTGGTTTTCTATAGCAATGTAAAAATTATTTCGCATACAATTATGGATTAAAGGATGCATTCGAAATCATTTAATACCGCACAGAATTAATTTCAACGTGCAACGCCTTACACGAATAATTGGGATAAAGCTACGGTATTTCATTAAATACTGTTCCTTTCAATAACTGTTAAGATCCACTGTGCTCCATGATAATCAGAATGGTGGAAGTATTCTAGCTGATAGCACTGCTAATCACCACCTAACCCTTTCAACATTTAAGTGATATTTCAAATGCCTTTTGGTTAAAAGAAGTCAGTATTCATAAAATTTCTTTTCGAATGCAAGTTGAATTTGGACAAATCATTTTAATTTTTGCGTTGCAAAAGTTTTGTCTAAAAACTTTTATTATTATTACAATTTATGTAAGAGTGTGTTTAATGATATGTTATAACCACAGATTTCCTATTTCGTGAAAAGTTCGTTTATGGATGAGAATCAGCAATAAATTATTTCAGAACCAAATATAAATTTATCAACAATATATGTTGTAAGATTTTTCCCTTACACTAATATCACCTCAATTTTGAAGGTATGAAAAAATTGAAATGAAATTGTGCAAAAAATATTGCCAATGCTTTGTATAAATTATTATTCATAATTCAATCTAATGAAATGAAATTAGATTAAACATCAAATACTGTTATTTCATTATTAAACGTGGATTATTAATGCACGTTGTTTGTCATTCACATCTTTATAAGCATTTACAGATACTATCCTTTGACAGTTTCTAATAAAAGCTATTTGGTGACCTTTGTCCTTCCATAAATTTCATTCAGTAAATACTATATCGTTTATTTCAACATAGAATGTAGTTTCTTCCCAAAATTTCGCGTTATGTAAAAGAAAGCGTTGCCAACACTAAAGGATTCTGTAGAATTCGGTTTAGATTGGGCATAAATTGCTATTGTTTGGAAGAAAATTCTTTTTTAAATAATTTGCCAAAGAGCGAGCGGTGTGATTTCTTATAACCAACCATTCGTAGTATATTGATAAATTTGAATATTTTTTAGAACTGTCAGGAAATTATAACAATCAATATGTATTTCATCTACTTTCTCTTCCTCTTCTCCCTATTAAACATCAAAACTACAGTAAGTTCATTAAAAATTAAAATGTAAACACTCTAATATTACGAAGATGTCAAATTTTCAACGTTAGATGGAGTGAATAGTAACATATATTTTCAGGAGGCGCAGACGGAACAAACAGAGCTCATCAACTTATTGTTGCCAGAAGTGAGTGAAGAACGAATGGAAATACGAGATTCATTAGTAGAAGAAGCGGACAAGGAACAGATAGTGTCGCTGAATATACCAATCCAAGGAGCGAATGCTGAACAAAAAATACAGAACCCTGTACCTCCAAAAAAAATATGGATGAAAAGACATGTAATGGATCAGACGAATGAAAAGGTGCATGATTATTCGGAATGCAGCAAAATTTTCTCTCAATCATCCGATCCTAAAAGACATTTGATAAATCGAACCGGTAAAAAGCCTTATAATTGTTCAAAATGTGGAAAACGCTTCTCTGATTTATCAAATTTGAGAAAACATATGAGGATTGATACCGGGGAAAAGCCGTACAATTGCACAGAATGTGGAAAGCGCTTCTCTGATCAATCGGCTTCCAGAGAACATGTGAGAATTCATACCGGTGAAAAGCCGTACAATTGTTCAGAATGTGGAAAACGTTTCTCTAATTCATGGGCTTCTAGAAGACATATGAGAATTCATACCGGTGAAAAGCCGTACAATTGTTCAGAATGTGGGAAACGTTTTTCTGATCCATCGTCTTTTAGAGAACATGTGAGAATTCATACCGGTGAAAAGCCGTACAATTGTTCACGATGTGGAAAACTTTTCTCTGATTCATCAAATTTGAAAAAACATATGAGGATTCACAGCGGTGAAAAGCCGTACAATTGTTCAGAATGTGGAAAAGGTTTCTCTGATTCATCGTCTTTTAAAAGACATATGAGGATTCATACCGGTGAAAGACCTTACAATTGTTCAAAATGTGGAAAACGTTTTTCTGATCCATCGACTTTTAGGAAACATATGAGGATTCATGCCGATAAAAAGCCATGCAGTTGTTCGGAATGTGGGAATCGTTTCTCTGATCCATTGACATTTAACAGTCATATGAGGATTCATTCCGGCGAAAAACCGTACAGCTCTTCCGTATGCGAGAAAAGATTTTCTCGTAGAGGTCATTTTAATAGTCACATGAAAACCCATCGGAATGGGAGCTCCTCTTCCAGTCGGACTGCATGCAACCAAAGCAATTCGTTATGAAATCACATGTGATGAAGCTTGAGAAAGGAAATAGCTAAATGCATTTAAATGGAATACGCACCGATATTTCTGGTAATGTTTCAATATTTGATTGATTGAATTGTTGGAGTTTAATTACTCATCCGCAATTCTTGTCATATCTTTTATCACTTAATGCAGTTTGTGTTGTTCGTTATAAGTTATTCATTTTATGTCTGATATGTGATTTAGTATTTTTTGCTATTCATTTGCTCTTTGTCTTTATTTCATTTCAATGAATAAAATTCTTTGCATCGTTTGTTTGCTTGCATATTTATTGATCAGAGAATCATTGTAATATAAATTATGAGATGAATGAATAGTAAAGGTGTTGATGAGTCAATTCCATATTCGAATCATGTTATCGGTCAAAATAACACAAACTATATTGATTGTTGTCCTTCTTGGAAGATCCGTTTTGATTCGGTTGATTTTGTTTTAATTTCAGTTCAATAGTATTCAAATCCATTGATTACAGTTACTAAATCATTCAGCAAAAAACAGTTTATACCATCTTTGCGCCTCTTCAGGCATGCACAATCTATAGACTTTTGAGATATTATTATGTAATCCAGTAATTTCATAAATTTTTATTCAAACTTTCTATTAATAGCAATATCTTTGTAGATAAGTGCTTGCACTTTACTAAATATCACTTTTTACTTCAGTTTTGTTAATTCAGTTATGATTTCACTTTTGTTAAATCAGTTATGATTTCACTTTTGTTAATTCAGTTATGATTCAGTTTTGTTAATTCAGTTATGATTCAGTTTTGTTAATTCAGTTATGATTTCACTTTTTACTTCAGTTTTGTTAATTCAGCTATGATAGGACAAAGGCTAAGTACCCTCTCAACATTTAGTATCAAGCGATACTTAAAAGATTCGTGGTTAAAAGAAGTTAATTTTGACAAAATCTATTTTCGACTGTAAATTGAATACGGGCAAAATTTGAATCGTTTTAATTTCTGTTTTACAAAAGCTTTCACCGGAAACTTTTTTTTATTACTCTTATTTACGTAAGAGTTATTTAATGGCATTTAATGGCATGAATCAGCAATAAATTATTTCAGAACCATATATAAATTTATCAACAATATATGTTGCAAGATTTTTCCCTTACACTAATATCACCACGATTTTGAAGGTATGGAGAAATGAAATTGTGCAAAAGATATTGCCAGTGCTTTGTAATAATTATTTTTCATAATTCAATCAATAGTTGAAATGAAATTATACAGAATGATAGATCAAACAACAAATGCACATTGTTTGTCAATTTTCCATCTTTATAAGCATTTTTTTTACAGATACGATCCCTTGACAGTTTCTAATAAAAACTATTCGGTGACCTCCGTCCTTCCACAAATTTCATTCAGCAAACATTATTTCATTTATTTCAGCGAAGAATGGTAGACTCTTCCCATAATTTCGCGTTGTGTAGAAAACTTTACTACGATAAACGTTTCCATAAAATATAGCTTTACAATGTGAAAAAGTTGCTATGCGTGCTGTTTGCATGTGATAAATGTCCTTATTGTACTACCAATGATTGCGCGACAGTTTGTTTTCAATGCTAATATATTTCGAAATGCATTGTTTGGAAGAAATTTATTTTTTAAGCAATTTATCAAAGAGCGAGCAATGTGATTTCTTATAAGTAACCATTTATATATTTATAAATTTGAATATTTTTTAGAGCTGTCAGGAAATCACAACAATCAATATGTATTTCGTCTACTTTCTCCTCCTCTTCATCTTCCAATTAAACATCCAAACTATAGTAAGTTTATTAAAACTTAAAAAATAAAATATTTTGGTATTTTGAAGGCATCAGATTTTCAACGTTTGATGCAATGGATAGTTTCATATAACTTCAGGAGGCTCAGACTGAACAAACAATGCCGTTCGATTTATCCGTATCGAAAGTGAATGTGGAAGGAATCCGAATGGAAATACAGGATTTACTAATAAAAGAATCGGATAAAGAACAGATAGAATCAACTAATATACTGATCCAAGGAGCAAATGCTCAACAAAGATTACAGCACCATGTATTTCCAAAGAAAGAGTGGTTGAAAAGACATGTAATGGACCAGACGAATGAAAAGATGCATGGTTATTCGGAATGCAACACAATTTTCTTTCAATCATCCGATCTAGAAAGGCATTTGATAAATCGTACTGGTGAAAAGCCGCAAACTCATTTGTTGACAAATATCGGTAAAGAAGAGATACAGTCACCGAATTTACTAATCCAGGAACCGAATGCCGAACAAGAGTTACGACATCCCGCATTTTCAAATAAAAAATGGTTGGAAAGATACGAAAGGACACGTGCCGGTGAAAAGCCGGACGATATTCCGGAATGCAGCAAAAGTCGTCCTCAACCATCGAATTTCAGTAAGCATATAAAAATTCATACCAGTGAAAAACCGCGCGGTTGTCTTAAATGCAAAAAAAATTTCTCTCGATCATCGCATTTGAAAAGACATATGAAGATTCATAACGGTGAAAAGCCGCACAATTGTTCAGAATGTGGAAAGCGTTTCCCTGAATTGTCAAATTTGCAAATTCATATGTTGACCCATACGGGTGAAAGACCGCACAGTTGTCTGAACTGCCAAAAAAATTTCTCTCAATCAGTGCATTTGAAAATACATATGAGGATTCATAGCGGTGAAAAGCCTTATAATTGTTCAGAATGTGGAAAACGTTTCTCTGATCGATCGACTTTTAATAGACATATAAGGAGTCATTCCGCTGAAAAGCCGTACAATTGTTCAGAATGTGGAAAATGTTTCTCCGATCAGTCGACTTTTAAAAGACATACAAGGATTCACACCGGTGAAAAACTGTATAGTTGTTCTGTATGCGATAAAAGATTTACCCGAAGAAATGATTTGAATAGGCATATGAAATCTCATCACAAAGTTAATTCCTCTTCCAACTGGACTGCATGCAACCAAGGCAATTAACTTCGAAATCACATATGAAGACGTTTTAGTAAGGAAATAGCTAAATGTATTTAAATTGAAATATGTGCTGATATTTCTGGATTTGACTGATCTCTCTATAATTGATTGATTGAATTCTTGCAACTTAATCATTCGTCCTTAATATTTTTCATATCTTTTATCACTTACAGCAATTTATGTTATTCGTTATAAGTTATTCATTTTATGTCTGATATGTGAATTAGTATTTTTTTGTTATTCATTCGCTCTTTCTCTTCATTTCAATGAATAAATGAAGAATCATTTCCATATCCGAATCGTGGTCAAAAGAACAAAAACCATAATAATTTTAGTCCTTCTAGGAGGATCCGCGTTGATTCGGATGATTTTGTGTTCTACGAGCAAGCTGACAATCTTAAGATATCAAAAATTTGGCATAGGCATAAGCTCAATGTAAAGAATTAATTGCTAGTGAAGAAAACGCATATATTAAAAATCCAAATAGTGGTAAACTCAGCAAGTAATATGTACATATTTTTCTAACTGCAAAAAGCACAACTTTAGATTATTGAAAAAATCTAAAATTGTTATACACCATAAGGTTAAAGTAATTACTGGTACAAGCTATCAAGGTATACAGAAGATTCATAATAACTCAAAGTTACCGAAAAAAGAAGCAAGAAAATCCTCTAATCAAAGATGATAAGAAGTAGCTTAACGATGTATCTGATTGGATTGACAAAGCAACTGAAACTGTAGATAAGAACATTTCAAGAGAGCTGAAGCAAGAATTTAAAGAGATAAAAGAAGAACTGAACGACGGATTTAATGAATTTCTTGCTAAGACAGGTTTAAGTTGTAAAGCGGACTAGTTGAGCTATGCGGAATAATTTTTGAGGTATTATATGTGAATCTGTTCGAAGTAAATTCGAAATAAAATTAAAAAGTATATAGAGAATTCAGAAATATTAAAACAGATCATCACTAAACTAGTTGCAGTTATTGAAGAATTTAAGCAAACAACTAGCGGCTTGCTAATAGAAAGCCTGGCAAGAAATATATGAATAAATTGCTATAACTGAAGTGTTAGCATACTCTCTATCTTAAATGTTCTTAGACGTTGGCCCAATTATTTCTTCGTCTAAGAGCGAAGAAATAATTGTTTCTATTCGTCTAAGAACATTTAAGGGCTCTTGGCCCAAAGAGGTGTCAATTATACTTGAGACAAAAGACAATTCCTAAAGTTTAGAGCTTTTAGCTTTTAAAACCTTTAACTTTTAATTTTTTTATAAAACACTTAACACCACACCTAAGATGTAAATACAAATGTTTCCGCAAACTATTTAATCTAGCGCATACTGATGATAAAGCTTTTTGCGAGTACGCCGACCATGTTGAACAAATGGCTGATCTTTTGTCTTTAATGGCTAAAGCTAACTATTTAAGAATAAACATGCACCTTTATAAATCAATATGTCTGTTGTTTATATGAGTATCCATCGATACCAATGAAGACAATAAAAATTATATCATTATTGGAGCTGATGGTGTGTGTGCCGATATCGTGCAAGCAAATGTAATTTATGGTCAAATTAACTTTATCGCAAAATTTGTTATTGCAAATTAAATAAGAGTGTGTTTAATGACATGTCAAAACCTCTGATTACCCATTACATGAAAAATTATTTTCAGTATAAGAATCAATAATAAATTTTTCAGAATCATATGCAAATTTATCAACATATGTTGCAAAATTTTTCCTACAAAATAATATCACCACAATATTGATGATATGGAAAAATTGAAATGAAATTGTGTAAAAGATATTCCCAATAGTTTGCAAAAATTATTTGTCATAATTCAATACAATAGTTGAAATGAAATTATTCAGTATGATAGATTAAACATCAAATGCTGTTATTTTACTGTTAAATTATTTATATACGTTGTTTGGATTATTTATATACGTTGTTCGTCATTACCACCTTTATAAGCATTTACTGATATGATCCTTTGACAGTTTCTAATAAAAGCTATCTGGTGACCTCTGTCCTTCCACAAATTTCATTCAGTAAACATTATTTCATTTATTTCAACAAAGAATGGCAGTCTTTCCCCAAAATTTCGCATTATGTAAAAAAACTTTACTGACAATAAACGATTCTGTAGAATTAGGAATAAGTTATTATGCGTATTGTTTGTATGTAAAAAGTGTCCTTACTGCACTATCAATGATTGCGCGACAGTTTCTTTTCGATGCTTATATATTTAGAAATGCCATTGTTAGGAAGAAATATTTTCTTTAAGCAATTTATCAAAGGGCGAGCGATGTGATTTCTTACAAGCAACCATTCGTAGTATATTGGTGAATTTGAATATTTTTTCAGAACTGGCAAGAAATTATAACAATCAATATGTATTTCATCTACTTGTTCCTCCTCTTCTTCCAATTAAACATCCAAACTATAGTAAGTTCATTGAAAAATTAAAATATAAAGCACTTTAATATTACGAAGATGTCAAATTTTCAACGTTAGATGAAGTGGATAGTATCTATCATATATTTTCAGGAGGCCCAGACGGAACAAACAATGCTCATCGATTTATCCTTACCGGAGGAACGAATCCGAATGGAAATACAGGATTCACTAATAAAAGAAGCGGACAAAAAACTGATAGCATTGCCTAATATACCAATCCAAGGAGCGAATGCTCAACAAAGATTACAGCACCCTGTATTTCCAAAAAAAGAATGGTTGAAAAGACATATGATGAATCATACCGGTGAAAAGCTGCGTGGTTATGCGGAAAGCAACAAAACTTTTTTTCAATCATCCGATCTGGAAAGGCATTTGATAAATCGTACCGATGAAAAGCCGACTATTTATATGGTGATCCATATCGGTAAAGAACAGACACAGTCACCGAATTTACCAATCCACGGATCGAATGCTGAACAAGAATTACGACATCCTGCATTGGAAAGATATAAAAAGACTTATGCTGGCGAAAAGCCGTACGATGGCTCGTCATGCCAAAAAAGTTCTCCTCATCCATCGAATTTGGGAAAACATATGAGGATACATAAAAGTGAAAAATCGCATGGTTGTCCGATATGCAGAAAAAATTTCTCTCGAATAATGCATTTGGAAACACATATGAGGATTCACACCGGTAAAAAGCCGTACAATTGTTCAGATTGTGGAAAACGTTTCTCTGATCCATCGGCTTTTAGAGGACATATGAGGATTCATACTGGTGAAAAGCCGTACAATTGTTCAGAATGTGGAAAACGTTTCTTTCAATCATCAATTTTGCAAAATCATATGTTGACCCATAACGGTGAAAAACTGCATGGCTGTCCAAAATGCAAAAAAAATTTCTTTCGACCATCGGATTTGGAAAGACATATGAAGATTCATACCAGTGAAAAGCCATACAATTGTTCAGAATGTAGAAAACGTTTCTCTGGTTCATCGAATTTGAGAAAACATATGAGAATTCATACCGGTGAATGGCGGTACAATTGTTCAGAATGTGGAAAACGTTTCTTTGATTCATCAAATTTACAAATTCATAGGTTGACCCATACCGGTGAAAAGCGGTACAGTTGTCAGAAATGCAACAAAAATTTCTCTCAGTTATTGCATTTGGAAACACATACGAGGATTCATACCGGTGAAAAGCCATACAATTGTTCAGATTGTGGAAAACGTTTCTCTGTTTTATCAAGTTTTAAAAGACATATGAGGATTCATACCGGTGAAAAGCCATACAATTGTTCAGATTGTGGAAAACGTTTCTCTGTTTTACCAAGTTTTAAAAGACATATGAGGATTCATACCGGTGAAAAGCCGTACAATTGTTCCGTATGCGAGAAAAGATTTTCTCGAAGAGGTGATTTGAATAAGCATATGAAATTTCATCGCAATGATAGTTACTCTTCTAATTGGACTGCATGCAACCAAGGCAATTCACTTTGAAATCATATATCAGGAAGGTCATAGCGAAAGGATATAGCTAAGTGCATTTGAATTGAAATGTGTGCTGATATTTCTGATATTGTTTTTATATTTGATTGATTGAATTTTTGCAATTTAATCATATTAGTTGCATTAATAATAAAAATGTTTATGAATCAATTATTTATGAGACGAATAAATAGTAAAAATATTGATAGGTTAATTCCATATCCGAATCGTGTTATCGATCAAAAGATCAAGAACACTATTGATTTTTATCCTTCTCGGAAGACCCGCTTTGATTTCTAATTTAATCCCGGCATCTTTTAACAACACTCACTTATTATCACAATAATATTCAGTCATGTAATTGTATTTTAACTCTGGTAGTCGCATAAATTTGGCATGAACTATCCTCTAATATTCATGCAGTATTGATTTGTCTGATATCATAATAATAGCTTAATTTTATTGATTAAAATACAAAGTAGACAGAAAATATCCAAATATCATATGAACATTAAGCAATAGGATTTTTGTCTAACATCATGATTATAACTGATGTGCTAGTGAATTATTCGATTCGATGACTCTTAAGATGTGATATTTATCGGAGTTCCCCTGATAGTATCTCTTGCTATCAGCACAATATTTATAAGCTTCTACCCACATTGTTAAAAGAAATTAGTTTTGCTAAAATTTATTTTCCATTGCAAGTTGATTGTTTTACCTTTTGTGTTGCAAAAGTTTTAACCGAAATCTTTTATTTGTTGTTGAAATTTAAATCAAAGTGCATGAAATGACATCTTATAAGTTCTGACTTCCCACTTATAAAAAGTTCTTTTCAGGATGAGAATCAATAGTATATTTTAACAGGACCATATAAAAATGAGTGATACATATCACAAGATTTTCCTTCCTACTAATATCACATCAATTTTGAAGGTATGGAAAAACTGAGATGAAATGAAATGAAATTGTGCCAAAAAAATTTTGCCAATACTTTGCATAAATTATATTTCATAATTCAATACAATAGTTGAAATGAAATTATTCAGTACGATGGATTAAACATCAAATAATGTTATTTTATTGTTAAACGTGGATTATTTATATACATTGTTTGTCATTCACATCTTCTTTATAAGAATTTACAGATACGATCCATTGACAGTTTCTAATAAAAGCTATTTGGTGACCTTTGTCCTTCCACAAATTTCATTCAGTAAACATTATTTCATTTATTTCAACGAAGAATGGTAGTCCCATCGTAAAATTTCGCGTTATATAAAAAACTTCGATACGTATCCATAAAAGTTAGCTTTAGAGTGGAAATAAGTTGCTATGTGTGCTGTTTGCACGTGACACTTACGCCAAAAGGAAGCTGTCGCACAGCCATTGACAGTACAATAAATGTCCTTATACTGTTACTGCTAATGATTGCGCAACAGTTTCCTTTTCGATGCTAATATATTTCGAAGTGTAAGAAATTTCATTATTAAGCAATTGATCAAAGAGCGTTTCTTATAAGCAATCATTCATAGTGTATTGATAGATTTGAATATTTTTAGAACTGTCAGGAAATTACAACAATCAATATGCATTTCATCTACTTTTTCCTTCTCTTCTTCTCCCAATTAAGTATCCAAACTACAGTAAGTCCATTAAAAATTAAAAAACAAAACATTTGGTATTTCGAAAATATCAGATTTTCAACATTTAATGAAATGGATAGTTTCATATAACTTCAGGAGGCGCAAACGGAACAAACAATGCTGTTCGATTTATCGCAGCCGGAAGTGAGTGAAAAACGAATCCGAATAGAACTACAGGATTCATTAATAAAAGCGGATAAAGAACAGATAGCGTCGCCTAATATACCAATCCAAGGAGCAAATGCTCAACAAGGATCACAGCACCCTGTATCTCCAAAAAAGAAGTGGTTGAAAAAATATATGATGAATCATACCGATGAAAAACTACGTAGTTATTCGGAATGCAACAAAACTCTCTTTCAATCATTCGACCTGAAAAGGCATTTGTTAAATCTTACCGGTGAAAAATCGCTCGGTTGTCCGAAATGCAAAAAAAATTTCTCTCGATCATCGGATTTGAAAAGACATGTGAGGATTCATACTGGTGAAAAGCCGTACAAGTGTTCAGAATGTGGAAGACCTTTTTCTGATTCATCGGCTTTTAAAAAACATATGAGGATTCATACCGGTGAAAAGCCGTGCGGTTGTCCGAAATGCAAAAAAAATTTCTCTCAATCATCGGATTTGGAGAGACATATGAGGATTCATACCGGTGAAAAGCCTTACAATTGCACAGAATGTGGAAAACGTTTCTCTGATCCATCGGCTTTTAAAAAACATATACGGATTCATACCGGTGAAAAGCTGTATGGTTGTTCCGTGTGCGGGAAAAGATTTTCTCGAAAAAGTGTTTCGAATAGGCACATGAAAACTCATCGTAAAGAGAGTTCCTCATCCAATTTTATTGCATGCAACCAAAGCAATTTATTATGAAATCACATAGCAGGATGCATTTAAATTGGATATGCGTTGATTTCTCTGATATTATTTCAATATTTGATTGATTGAATTCTTGCAATTTAAGCATTTATCCTCATTATTTATCATATCTTTTATTACTAATTGCAATTTATATTATAAGCTATTCATCTTATGTCGGATATACAATTTAGCATTATTTCTCTGTTATTCATTTTTTTCTCTTTAATTCATTTCAGTAAATAAAATTCTATTAGTGATCGCCTACTCGTATATTTATGGAATGGACAATCATTGCAATATTAATTACGAGATGAATAAAAAGTTAAAATGTTTATGAGCCAAGTCCATATCCGAATCGTGCTGTCGGTTAAAAGTATATTGATTTTTATCCTTCTCGGTAGACCCGCTCTAATTCCGGCGATTTTGAATCCTACAAGGTGATTCCCCTCCAGCATCTGTTGTGGTCTGGCTGATCATATATATTTGTCATATGATAAATTCTTACAATAATCATTTGTGTCATCAATAAAAGCTGGTTCCATCACTATTCCCCTATCGGTGCTTAATTATAACGTATAATAATATAAAGTGAAAAAGATGATTGATAAAATTATCTTTATCTCGGTAATTTTATAAAAAAATTATAAACCAATATACTTGCTATTTTCAATCAATTGATGTCATAAAAATTAGAAACTATAAATCACTACAACAATGCAAAAAATTATTTCGTATACAACAATATTGGATTAGAGGTAGTGGACCATATCATTCAATACCGTGCAGATTTAATTTCGTTTATGCAAATTAAACTACATTATTCCAAAGTTTAAAATTTGTCGCTTCTTTTCAAGCACCACAAAAAGTCAAAATTCTAGCAATTTCAAATTTACCTATAGTTGCAAAAGAATTGATGAAGTCTTGCAGAGTGCCGAAATATATTTTGATATTGGAAAAATTCATTGTTCCAAGCAACGAGCAAAATTGGTTTCACTACGAAATTTCAAGTGAAACCGCACTAAGACGAAATTCCAATGAGTTCTGCAACAAATTCCACCTGACACGTGACGGCACTCATTTTGTATCACAATTATAATTGCGGTTATATAATTGCATTTTAACTCAGCATAAGTTTGGCCTTAACCACCCTCCAATATAAATGCAGTAATGAATTATCTGATATCATAATAATAGCTTGTGCGCTAAAGAATAATAAAGTGCTGTTAGAAGCGTAAATACTACTGCTAATTGTGCATGGTATTATATGGCAAGTATTACAAGGTATAATTGTGCGAGGTATTATATGGAGAACTGGGATAAAGCTGAAATATTTTACTGAATTCTGTTCGGTTCAATAACTGTTAAGATTCCGATGTTTATCAAAGTACTCGATGGTAATCAGAATGCTGAAAATTTTATTATTGCAATTTATGTAAGACGTGTGTAATGACATGTTATAACCTCTGATTTCCCATTTGATGAAAAGTACTTTTCAAGATAAGCAATAAGCTTTTTCAGAATCATATATATAATTATCAATGATGCAAGATTTTTCCTACACACTAATATCACCTTAACTTTGAAGATACGAAAAAACTGAAATGAAATTGTGCAAAAGATATTGCCAATGTTTTGCAAAAAATATCTTTTATAATTCAATGCAATAGTTGAAATGAAATTATTTAGTATGATAGATTAAACATCAGATTGCTGTCACTTTATTGTTAAACACGGATACACATTCTTTGTCATTTCCATTTTTATAAGCATTACAGATCGACCATTTGACATTTTCTAATAAAAGCTATTTGGTGACCTCTGTCCTTCCACAAATTTCATTCAGTAAACAGTATTTCATTCATTTCAACAAAGAATTGCAGTCTTTTCCCAAAACTTCGCTTATATAAAAAACTTTTCAATGATAAACGTATCCATCAAATGTAGCTTTAGAAAAATTTCTTTTTTAAGCAACTAATCGAAGTGAGAGCGGTGCGATTTCTTGTAAGCAACCATTTATAGTATATCGATAAATTTAAATATTTTTAGAACTGTCAGGAAATTACAGCAATCAATATGCATTTCATGTACTTTCTCCTCCTCATCTTCCAATTAAACATCCCAACTACAGTAAGTTCATTAGAAATTAAATAATAAAACATTTTGGCGTTTCGAAGACATCAGATTTTTAACGTTGGATGAAATGAATAGTCCCATGTAACTTCAGGAGGCGCAAACGGAAGAAACAATGCTGTTCGGTTCATCGGTACTTGAAGTGAATGAGGAACGAATCCGAATAGAACTACAGGATTCATTAATTAAAGAAGTGGGAAAAGAACAGACGTCATCGCCGAATGGACCAATCCGAGGAACGGATACAGAACAAAAGCTACAGAATCCTGTATCGCCAAAAAAAATATGGATGAAAAGACATGCAATGGATGAGACGAATCAAAAGGTGCATGGTTATTCGGAATGCAACAAAACGTTCACTCAATCATCCGATCTAGAAAGGCATTTGATAAATCGTACTGGTGAAAAGCCGCAAAATCATTTGTTGACAAATATCGGTAAAGAAACACAGTCACCGAATTTACTAATCCAGAGATCGAATGCCGAACAAGAATCACGACATCCTGCATTTTGGTTGGAAAGGCGTATGAAGGCTCATGTCAGTGAAAAGCCGTACGGTAGTTCAGAATGCCGAAAAAGTGTCCCTCACCCATCGAACTTACGAAAACATATGAATAATCATACTGATGAAAAACCACACAGTTTTCTGAAATGCAGAAGAAATTTCTCTCGATCATCGGATTTGGAAAGACATATGACGATTCATACCGGTGAAAAGCCGTATAATTGTACAGAATGTGGGAAACGTTTCTCTGATCCATCGGCATTTAGAGGACATATGAAGGTTCATACCGGTGAAAAGCCGTACAATTGTTCAATATGTGGAAAACGTTTCCCTCATTTGGCAACTTTTAGAGAACATGTGAGAATTCATACCGGTGAAAAGCCGTACAATTGTACAGAATGTGGAAAACGTTTCTCTTGTTTATCGGCTACTAAGAGGCATATGACGATTCATACCGGTGAAAAGCCGTATAATTGTACAGAATGTGGGAAACGTTTCTCTGATCCATCGGCATTTAGAGGACATATGAGGGTTCATACCGGTGAAAAGCCGTACAATTGTACAGAATGTGGAAGACGTTTCTCTTATTCATCAAATGTGCCAATTCATATGTTGACCCATACCGGTGAAAAACCGCATGGCTGTCCAAAGTGCAAAAAAAATTTCTCTCAATTAATACATTTGAAAACGCATATGAGAATTCATACCGGTGAAAAGCCGTACAATTGTTCAATATGTGGAAAACGTTTCCCTCATTTGGCAACTTTTAGAGAACATGTGAGAATTCATACCGGTGAAAAGCCGTACAATTGTTCAGAATGTGGAAAACGTTTCTCTTATTTATCGGCTATTAGGAGACATATGAGGATTCATACCGGTGAAAAGCCGTACAATTGCACAGAATGTGGAAAACTTTTCTCTGATCCATCGACTTTTAGAGAACATCTGAGGATTCATACTGGTGAAAAATACAGTTGTTACGTATGCGATATAAGATTTTCTCGACGACGTGTTTTGAATAGTCACATGAAAACCCATGGGAAAAAGAGTTGCAATCGGACTGCATGCAGCCTAAGCAATTCATTATAGAATCACATATGAAGAAGTTTGAGAACGGAAATAGCTAAATGCATTCAAAAGTTAAATGCATTTAAATATGCGCTAATTTTTCTGGTAATGTTTCAATATTTGATTGATTGAATTCTTGGAATTTAATTTTTCATCCGTAATCCTTATCATATCTTTTATCACTTATTGCAGTTTGTGCTATTCGTGATTTATTATTCATTTTATGTCTGAAAATTGAACTAGCTTTTTATTTTTCTGCTATCTATTTGCTCTATTTCTTCATTTCATTTCAATGAATGATTGTCTATTCACATAATCATTGAACAGACAATTATTGCAATATTAATTATGAAATGAATAAAGAGTAAAAATATTGATGAAATAATTTCATATCCGAATCGTGTTATCGGAGAAAAGAACAAAAACTGTATTGATTTTTATCCTTCTCGGAAGATCCGCTTTCATTCCGATTATTTTGCATCTTACGAGGTGATTTCAATTTAAAGTAGGCTGATAATCTTAACATATGAAAAATGAGGCATAAGCATAAGCTCATTCTGGACAATTAATTGGTAGTGATCTTACGAGGTGAATTTCCTCCAACATCTGTTGTGGTTGCGGAAAAAATTAAGTTAGCGAAGCACCAACTTATTATTAATCCATTTTGTAATAATTTGCATGTATTAATATATTTTTACAACAATCATTAGTGTCATCAATAAATGCTGTTCCATCACTATTTCTTACTGATGCATAATTATAACGTATAATATATAAAGTGAAAAAGAGGAATGATAAAATTATCTTTATCTCGGTAATTTTATAAAAAAATTATAAACCAATACACTTGCTATTTTCTATCAATTGATGTCATAAAAATTAAATACCATAAATTTCTACAACAATGCAAAAAATTATTTCGCATACAGCAATATTGGATTAAAGGTAGTGGACCATATCATTCGATACCGTGCAGATTTAATTTCATTTATGCAAATTAAACTACATTATT